AGCATGAAGACGCCCCAGCCTGAGACCCACCAGCAGCCAGGAGGCTGTTGGAAGTTTCAGCCCCCAGGCCCAAGGTTGTGCTCCTCCTCAATCTCATCCCCTGCCCAATGATGGTGGTGGATGGGCCCTGTGCCTCCTCAGCCCCGAGGCTCGCCTCCTTGTTGTACTCACTGTGAAGGGATCAGCCCCTTGATCCTAGGCAGGCCCAGGGACAGCTTAGCATGTGCATGTGGTAGCTGGAGTCAGGGATCTGAGCATGAGGACACCCCAGCCTGAGACCCACCAGCAGCCAGCAGACTCCACTTGTTTAATTGTTGGGTATGTATATAGTGCCTAGAGTTCAGTCTCCTAATAAAGGAAAGTTGAGGAAACAGGCTTCTAATATAACCCTGGCTTTTGAAAACCACCATTAGGGCCCTTTGGGGTCCTTAAGTGTCCTTTGTGACAAATCCCCAAAAAGATACTTTGGTGCATGATAATGGAAGACATATAATAATATAATGAAATAAGCAAAAAGAAAATAGAAAACAAACAAAAAAAAAAAAGTGGAAAAAGTTTGTAATAGGTGACACATCATGTTGGGTTTTCCCCTTGTTGGTGAAGTTCATTTTGACCTGTTGGATGCCTCTTCTGCTGGGTTACTCCATTATCATTTCCCCCCCTCATAATTAGCAAGCCTGCTGGAGGGAGACACTTGGGGAGCTGAAGATACCAGCTAGCACACTTTCGCCTGTCACTGAGACCAGGGTGTAAGGTTTGACTTTGGGTTCAGAGTCAGGCAATCACACAAAGTACTGTTCATCTCAAAGCAAGCTCTAATGGCAGTGTCCCTGTGTGAGGGTCACTGGTCCTGTACAGAGAGCGGGCCAGAGAAGTTGTGCCTTGGGCTTGTGAGGAGGAGATAGCAGAGAGATAGAAGGTGGGAGGGCACAGAGAGAGAGAGAGACAGAGAGTCTGACCTGACTGCTCCCTGGTGAGAGACAGCCGGAACTACCTCTACATGGCAGAGTGACCCCTGTGAGGGAAGTGGCCACTCAGGGTACACAGCACTGGGCTTTCATACATGTTAGGTGTGGGGGATGCGGGAAGGTGGGGGCTCCTCAGTTTGCTCATGTTTGTGGCCATGATGTGTCATCATGGTGGGTGTTGATTTTCTGCGCAGACTCCTTGAAACATTTCTGGATGGGAGTGTCTGTTTGACCTCGGCAGAGAGCGCGTTGAGGTTACTGAAGCTCTCTTCTGTTGCTGGTGGCTAAGGGAGGCAGAGAGTACCGGGACATGGTCTACTGCTTGGTGTGTCAAGGCTACCAGGTGTTCCTGGCTTGTGATAAGTTTCCTTGTCCTGTGGTGCACGCAGCTCCTTCAGGAGTTGCTTATGCTCGGCCTAACACTTCCCCTGCCCAAATCCACTCTTTCCTGTCTTCCCTTGAGCATGGGCTTCGACCGTAGGACAAGAGGACTGGACCCAGCGCAATAGCCTAATGCCTAATTTCTCACCTTGTATCTGCCGGGAGCCCATATGGGTGCAGATTTGTGTCCTGCCTGCTCCACATTCCATCCAGCTTGTTTGTGATTTGGGAGAGCAGTGGAGATGGCCCAAAGCCTTGGTACCCTGTACCCACATGGTTCCTGGCTTCAGACCAGCTCAGCTCTGGCTGTTGAGGCCACTTGGGGAGTGAATCAGCAGATGGAAGATCTTTCTCTTTGTATCTCCTTCTCTGTGTATCTGCCTTTCTTATTTAAATAAATAAATAAATAAGCAAGCAGGAGGGCTTCTATCCGTGGCTGGGGTGGGACGGCATCTCAGCTCAGGCCCCTGAAAACTAGGGAAAGATCCTGGAATGAATGGGTGAGTGAGAGGGGGACTAATGGGAAGACTCAGGATATTTGTGATCTTGTGGCTGGAGGTGAAGGATTCCTGGGATGGTATGGGCAGAGTCAGGCCTGCAGAGTCCCTAGCTGCTTGCAGCCAGTTGCAAGGCTGGCAACCTGCACCTTAGCCCTGCCCAACCTCCAGTGGGGCCTTGTCTCCTGCTCCTCCATGTAGTAGGACAAGACTACTGGAACTGGATGGGATTAGCCCAGAGAATCCTGGCAAATCAGGCTGCAAGATTTTTATCAGGCTTGAGTTGCTGGAGGGAAGAAAACAGGATGAGGGGATTGGGAGTTGAGAGTTGAAAGGGGCGGGGACAGGTCCTGGGCCCACTCTATTAAATAGTCTAGCCCTCTCCCACTGGGAGGCCTGGCAGACGCTTACGTGCAATAATTAACTGCTCAGTGTGGCATTCATCCAAGCCCAGGCTCTACTCCCGGCCCCGTCCTGGCGACCTGCACCCCTGCCCGTCACCTAGGACACCAAACTGTGCCGGTGATCTGGAAGCAGGCAAGGAAAAGTGTGGCACGAGCAGCAACCGAAGCCAGACCTCCAGCCGCCTTCTCTCCCAGGTATGCAATCCCCAGTCCTGCTAGGGGCCACACAGAATCCAGTATTCCCTGCTTATGGGTAAAGAATTTGCTGGAGTGGGAGGATTGTCTGTTTACCTGAAGCCCCAGAGACTGCAGGCCCAGGCCCACTCAACTCCAAGTCAGTGTCTGCCAGAACACAAGGCTCCTGTCCTTCCACCCAGAACTGAGCTCTCAGACTCCTGGGCAGGGGGCAAAGTTGGTGGGGGGGTGAAGAAGGGTGTGCGTCACAGCCTTACCCAGATGTGAAGGGGATGAAGACTAGGAAGGAGTACAGTGGGCTCCCAGGCAGAGGGGAGGGTGCTGGTTCCAAACAGCCACAGCCGGAGAAAGACTGGCAGCCCCCTGGCCAGCCCAGCCTGGGTGGGCTAACTCAGCACTGCAAAGGGGTGAGAGGGCAAAGGCTGAAGCAGGGCTGCCCTCGTGCGTCTAGCGTCAGAGCTTTGGTTCCCGCTCAGCTGATCCCGCCGGCTGCCCTGTCTACTTCTCCCAAGGTCAAGCACGGGATGGCGCGGGGGCTGCATTCCCAGGCCCGCGGGAGGGTCCGAAGGGTCGCAGGCTCGCGCCCTCAGCCGCTAGTACTCAGCTTAATTAGAAGATTGGCCTGGCGTGGTGTGCTCCCCCCAGCCTAGGCTGAAAGGAAAGACTGCGTGGGTCAACCCAGGCCTGATGAGGCTCTGAGAGGAGCTGGAAGAAACCGAGGGATTCGATGAGGCTGGGTGGGAATTCAGTGGCACACACGTCTAGGCCCACGGGGCAGAGTGGGCCTGGGAGACTGTCCTGCTCTGACTTGCCTCAAGATGGGGACAGGGAGAGGGAAAATAAGCTTGCCAGTAGGGAGGGCAATGCCTCTGTGGTAAAACAAGTGAGAGAGATGAAGAGGAGTTGGAAAAGGAATGCGAAGATCCTAGGGGGAGGGCCCGGCGGCCTGGCCTAGGGGCTAAAGTCCTCGTCTTGAACACGCCGGGATCCCATATGGGCGCTGGTTCTTATCCCGGCAGCTCCACTTCCCATCCAGATCCCTGCTTGTGGCCAGGGAAAGCAGTTGAGGACGGCCCAAAGCCTTGGGACCCTGCACCTGCGTGGTCCCAAGAGGTTCCTGGTTCCCAGCTTCGTTGCGCTCACTTGGGGCATGAATCAGCGGACGGAAGACCCTCCTCTCTCTCTCCTCTCTCTGTATATCTGACTTTGTAATGAAAAATAAATAAATCTTTAAAGATCCTTGGGGGACCCAGGCACCTGATGTACCTATTCCCCTAAAACCTTGGGGTCTGCAGTCGAGGCATGGAGGACCTGTGGTGGTTGAGCGGCTGTCGGCTGTGTGGCAATGGACTTTGGAACCTCTTAGGCTCCAGGGGTGTACAGCTCACTGTGCCCGCTGCGTCGGGTCCTGTGACATTCCCAAAGTCCCAGAGGAAGCCTGGCTTTGGCTTATCCCAACCCTGGCCATTGAAGCCATTTAGGGAGTGAACCAGCAGATGAAAGATCTCTCTTTTTCCCTCTCTCAGTATGACTCTGTCTTTCAAATAAATAAATGAATCTCTAAGCACATGAAGAGCACAAAATAGGAAAATCCTAGGGACCTGGATCAGCTGTTTTCTTTCATCTTTATCACTCTCTAAGAGATTTATTTATTTGTTTATTTATTGCAAAGTCAGATATGCAGAAAGGAAGATCTTCCATCTGTTGATTCACTTCCCAAGTGGCCACAACAGCTGGAGCGGAGTCAATTCAAAGCCAGGAGCCAGGATTCCCTATGAGATGCCAGCCTCAAATGCAGCTGCTTAATCTGATGCACTGCAAGACTAGCCTCCTGTATAATTTTATCTTACCAGTGTATTTCATTACAGAATACATACTAGGTTGTTCGAGACATGTACATTTTTTTTTAAGATTTATTTATTTTTTCCTTTGAAAAGTCAGATTTACACAGAGACATAGAGAAAGATCTTCCATGTGCTTGTTCACTCCCCAGCTGATCACAACGACTGGAGCTGAGCCAGGAGCCAGGAACTTCTTTCCAGATCTCTCACACGGGTGCAGGGTCCCAAGGCTTTGGGCTGTCCTCCACTGCTTTCCCAGGCCACAAGCAGGGAGCTGCATGGGAAGTGGAGCAGCCGGGATTAGCACTGGCATCCATATGGGATCCTCGTTTGTTCAAGGCAAGGACTTTAGCTGCTAGGCCACAGCACTGGGCCCAAGACATGTAAATCTTATCACAATAGTTTTTGTTAGCTTTTATAACCTTCTAAACATTTTATCTCTGAAATATTTGCCTCCAGGGGTTTGGCATAGGGGATTGGGGCTGAACTCCTGGCTCTGTCTGGCAAGCTAAAGTTCATTCCAGAGTAGCATCAATGAGGCTCCTTGGACTCTCCCCTGGCAGGTGGCGTCTGATCTTATCCTGCTTTAGGGTTGAGAAGACTGAGGGGATGAGGGCAGGGCAGATGTTCCTCGTTGCTCCACCCTCCAGAGGCAGGGCCATACTAGCAGCCCCACCTCTGCTTCCCCTGAAGCCACAGACCACAACTGTCCTTTCAGGGATTGCAATGGCCAGACCCGGGATCACACTGCTGTTGCTCCTGCTGGTATGGGCGACTGCCTGCAGTGCCCAGCCGAGAGTGGCCCAGGCCAAGACCGAACTCCTCAATGTCTGCATGAACGCCAAGCACCACAAGGAAAAGCCAAGCCCTGAGGACAAGTTACATGAGCAGGTGGGCTGGTTGGGAGGGTGGTCTGGGGGCTGAGGGCGCTGGTTTGGGAAGAAAAAGTCAAGAGAAGGAAGGGTCTGGGCCCATTCCATGGTGGACGTGGGCAGACCCTCTGAGGAGACCTCTGTCTTGCTTGAAGGCAGGTGGTTATTTGTCCTCAAGAGCTTGGTGCCAACATCAGCATGATGCCAGTAGCTCGCCTTAGGGGTTGTTAGGTTCGTGTGTTGCACAAATAAGGAAGCAGGTCCGGAGAGGAGCTCGGTAAAGGTGACTGGGGAGTCCCACGCTGGGACTGGTTTTGATGTCAGGACTGCAATCCTGCAGGGATCGAAGAGAGGAAGATGTTCCCTTTTCTCACCGGGTACCTTGTCTGCCAGGTCTGACCAGAGCTGGGAGGTGGGTCTCTTACAGCTGGGAGGGGAGGTGCTGAACCCTCACTTTAGCACATCTGGCAAAAACTTGGGCTGCTGCTCTCGCAGATGCACTTGAGATTTCCTTCCTGTAATAGTTTGTTTAGGGACACCCTCTTAATATCCTGGCTAAATATTGTACTAAAACCATTAAGATGCCCTCACTGTAAAGGGGAAGCTAAGGAATCAATTATAACCTGCATTTCACTGCATGCATTTCAGTGCGCATTTGACTCCATTCATAGTCGTGATTAGAACTCCATTTGCCTTTGTTTGGGATCACTGAGCTGCCATTAGCAGCTGATGGTATAACCTGGCTACTCACATAACTGACTTGATTGTTTTGTTTTACATAACTGACTTGAAATTAGCTTTTATTTTTTAAAAAAAAGATTTATTTTTATTGGAAAGGAAGTTCTACAGAGTGAAGGAGAGACAGAAAGATCTTCCATCTGCTGGGCTCGGCGCGATAGTGTAGTAGTTAAAGTCCTTGCCTTGCACGTGCAAGGATCCCATATGGTCGCTTTCCATCCAGCTCCCTGCTTGTGACCTGGGAAAGCAGTCCAGGACGACCCAAAGCCTTGGGACGCTGCACCCACGTGGGAGACCAGGAAGAGCTCCTGGCTTCAGATTGGCCAGATTGTGCGGCTGCTTGGGGAGTGAACCATCGGACTGAAGATCTTCCTCTCTGTCACTCCTCCTCTGCATATCCACCTTTCCAATTAAAAATAAATAAATAAATAAATAAAAATCTTCTATCTGCTGGTTCACTCCCCAAGTAGCTGCAACAGCCACAACTGAGCCAATCTGAGGCCAGCAGCCAGGAGCTTCTTCCGGGTCTCCCATGCGGGTGCAGGGTCCTAAGGCTTTGGGCCATCCTCCAGTGCTTTCTCAGGCCCTCAGCAGGGAGCTGGATCAGAAATGGAGCATCTGGGACTCAAATTGGCACCCTCTTGGGAAGTTGGTGCCAGGAACCAGCCTTTTATGCCACTGCTCTGGCCCCATAAATAAATCTTGAAAGAAAGCAAGTAAAGGGGAGTCCAGCATGATGGCTCAATGACTAAATTCACCCCTTGCATGTGTCAGGGTCCAATACGGGTGCCAGCTTGTGTCCCAGTTGCTCCACTTCCCATCCAACTCCCTGTGTGTATCTTGGGAAAGTAGTGTAGGATGGGCAAGGCCTTGTGACCCTGCACTTGTGTGGGAGACCTAGGAGAAGCTCCTGGCTCCTGGCTTCTGGCTTCGGATCAGCTCAGCTTCAGCCATTGCAACCCTTTGGTGAGGGAACTAATGGATGAAGGATCTTTCTTTCCATAAATCTGACTGATCTGCCTTTACAATGAAAATAAATACATATTTAAAAAAATAGAAAGGAAGGAAAAAAGAAAATGCTCCTTGGTTAAAACAAAACAAAAAAAAAGACTCGATTATTGCATGCATCACTGTTGTAGTGCCTGGTAGGAGGTAGGAGTTCTATCAGGTGTTGTACCCAGATTTTGAGATCCCCAGAAATCATAAGGAGTCTGGAGTTGATCCAAGTGCACAAGGATGGTTTACTGAAGCTCAGCATATCCGAGCCTGGGTTCTTGGTTGAGAGCAGGCAGCTAGCCTGGCACCAACAACCCTTACCAGGAGTGTTTCCCAGAACAGAACATTCAAAGGGTTTTTATAGGGGCAGTCCACAATAGCTTGAAAAGGGGAAATTTATAATAGTGTACAAGGTGAGGGGAAATAGCACACGTTCTCTACCTATCTTGGCTGAATAGCCCATGCACCCACTTAATTATTTGGAGCCACCTGTGAGATAACCAGACTTAGGTGGGTCTTGATTCATAAGAATTGGGACCCATCAGTGCTAAAGGTCACATAGGCCATTTAGCCTACAAGCTCATACAGTTTCTTAGTAGCAATGAGCCATGAACAAATGGTTGGGATTTTGATACTGAGGTTCTTCACCAGATTTTTTTTTTTTAAGATTTACCTATTTTACTTGAAAATCAGAATTGCATAGAGAGATCTTCATCTCTTGGCTCATTCCCCAGATGGCTGTAACATCTAGAGCTGAGCTGGTTCAAAGCCAGGTGCATCTTCTGAGTCTCCCACATTAATTCAGGGGCCCAAGGACTTAGAACATCCTCTGCTGCTTTCTCTGCCCATAAGCAGGGAGTTGGATCATAATTGGAGCTGCTGGGACTAGAATCGTGCCCGAATGGGATGCTGATGACACAGGCAGAGGACTAGCTTGTTATACCACTGCATTGGCCTCTTGTGAACAAGATTTTTTGCAGAAAAAGCCCTCAAGACTAGTTGTAAGTGTAGACCACCTTCCCCACCCCCGGCTGCAAACCTGGGTCTGCTCATCAGACAGGCAGAGCCAATCACTGGCACTGGTTGGTGGAAGAAAGTAGGCATTTATTTACTAAGTGCAGGAAAAGCAGCTCAGACAGCTGTTGCTTAATTCTCCCAGGCTCCTGAGGGTTGGGGTGAAGGCTCGTACTGACTAAAGTTGGAATTGAGAAGTACGCGTTCAGCTGCTTGCCTTTTCCTGTTGGTCAGTGGACTGTGTGGCCTTCCTTTGCTTGATCAGCAATGTCCTGTTCTTCAGGGAAGTTTTAGATGGCACTGTGGGCTCCTGGCTGGCAGCTACATTCAGGGAAAAGTTGTTTTCTGCCCTGGGCAGGAATTTTCCTGAAGCAACGCCCAGTGAGCCAACATTCACCATTTATATGTTAATTGCTGGAGCCTTTTCCTGGGCCAATTGCAAAACTCCTTCCATTTAGTAAATTCCTTGGAAGTGGTTAATCCTAAAGGAAGTGCTGGTACCTGAGCTAAGGTGAGCTTGGGGTGAGATGAAGGTTATTTCTTTCTTCTTCTTCTTTTTTTTAAGATTTATTTATTTATTGGAAAGTCAGATACACAGAGAGGAGGAGAGAGACAGAGAGGAAGATCTTCCGTCCAATGATTCACTCCCCAAGTGAGCGCAATGGCCAATGCTATGCCGATCCGAAGCCAGGATCCAGGAACCTCTTCCTGGTCTCCCACATGGGTGCAGGGTCCCAAACCTTTGGGCTGTCCTTGACTGCTTTCCCAGGCCACAAGCAGGGAGCTGGATGGGAAGTGGAGCTGCCAGGATTAGAACTGGCGCTCATATGGGATCCCGGGTGTGTTCAAGGCGAGGACTTTAGCTACTAGGCTATGCCTCCGGGCCCGAAGACTATTTCTTGCCTCTGCTTTAGGGACATAAGAATTGGGGTTTGGGTGGCTCCGCTCGGTGGCCTAATGGCTAAAGTCCTCACCTTGAACACGCCTGGATCCCATATGGACGCTGGTTCCAATCCCGGCAGCTCCACTTCCCATGCAGCTCCCTGCTTGTGGCCTGGGAAAGTAGTGGAAGATGGTCTAAGCTCTTGGGACTCTGCACCCACATGGGAGACCTGGAAGAGGTTCCTGGATCCTGGCTTTGGATCGGCACAGCACTGGCCGTTGTGATCACTTGAGGAGTGAACCAGTGGACAGAAGATCTTCCTCTCTCCTCCTCTCTGTATATCTGACTTTGTAATGAAAAATAAATAAATCTTAAAAAAAAAAGAAGAATTGGGGTTCAACTTTTCTTAAGATTTATTTATTTTTATCGGAAAGATAAATTTACAGAGTGAAGGAGAGACAAAAAGATCTTCCATCTCCTGGTTCACTCCAGCTGGAACTGAGCTGGAGCTGAGTCTCTTCTGGGTCTCCCACAGGGGTGCAGAGTCCCAAGGACTTGGGCCATCTACCACTGCTTCCCAGACCATTAGTAGGTAGTTGGAAAGAAAGTGGAGTAATTGTTACACAAACTGGCTCTTAAAGGAAAGGTGGAGGCTTGGCCTGTGGGGGCCCTGCACTTCAATTTGAACTAGTAAATTGTGTCCTGATTGCACCTTGTGGGCTCCCAATTTTTGAGAGTCTCCTCCCCCAACAGGGCCCCTGGGGTAATTATTTTCAGGAACGACTAGATTGGGGACTCAGTGCTAACTGAAGGGAGACCTGCGGCCTGTGGACTTCAGCCTTGTGTCTTCTCTGTGCAGTGCAGTCCCTGGAGGAAGAACTCCTGCTGCTCCTCGAACACCAGCAGTGAGGCTCACAAGGACATATCCTACCTCTACAGATTCAACTGGGACCACTGCGGCAAGATGGAGCCCGCCTGCAAGCGGCACTTCATCCAGGACACCTGCCTCTATGAGTGCTCCCCGAACCTGGGGCCCTGGATCCAGCAGGTGCAAGCTTCCTCCGGGTATCCCTAGCCCAGAAAGGGAGCTTTCCAGACACCTATGTAAGTTGGTCCTATCACAGCTGGTTTTTCTGAGTCCTTCTTCTCTATTGAAATCCCCCAGGTGGACCAGAGCTGGCGCAAAGAGCGCATCTTGAATGTGCCCCTGTGCAAAGAGGACTGTCAGCGCTGGTGGGAGGACTGTCGCACCTCCTACACCTGCAAGAGCAACTGGCACAAGGGCTGGAATTGGACCTCAGGTGAGGGCTGGGATGGGGCAGGGAGGCAGGTGTTTGGAGGTACAGGAATGGGTATGTGAAATGTGTGGTGACAGGATTGACAGAACCAAGGAGACCTCTGGGCTCAGTTGGCTAAGTCTTCCCTCCTCCCTGTAGGATTTAACCAGTGCCCGGTGGGAGCTGCCTGCCACCCTTTCCACTTCTACTTCCCTACACCTGCTGATCTCTGTGAAGAAATCTGGAGTCACTCCTACAAGCTCAGCAACTACAGCCGAGGGAGTGGCCGTTGCATCCAGATGTGGTTCGACCCGGCGCAGGGCAACCCCAATGAGGAGGTGGCCAGGTTCTATGCTGAGGCCATGAGTGGGACTGGACTACCAGGGACCTGGCCTCTTCTGCTTGGTCTTGCCCTTCTACTGCTCTTGCTGCTCAACTGAGTCCGTCCTAATGTGTGTTGGGTCAACTCCATGGCTCCCAGCTCTCAGGACCTCTCCATGTGACAAGTTTAAATAAACCAAAAACTCCCCATGTGCCACGTGAATTAATTGGGGGTGAATGGGGACATTTTACTTCCCAATTCTCACTGATTGAAGCCAGTTACACTTGGTCAGTTGCCAGCTCTGACACTTGCTAGAGATGAGCCAGATACATAATCATTCTTTCAGCCAAGGACATGTTCATAATCGCTGTAGTTCTAGCCAAGCGTTGAGCTGACGATTTTCCCATTTGAATTGGACCCACACCTGCTAGAGTTGATTACAGTACTGTGCTCAACTCTGCCACATATTTCCCATATATTTATTCCAATAAGGTATATACGATATTTGCATTTGACTTATGTGGAAACATACCTTAAGGAACATGACCAGAGCTCCCCTCTGCAGAAGAGCTGGCCTTCCATCCCACGCAGTGTGGCCCTTGAGCTCTTTCCCATGTGCAATGAGTAAATGCTACCTTGAAGCAAGTATTGGGCTACAGTTGGGCCAGGAGAGCAGGGGTTATGTTGGTTTGGCGCTGGGCCAGGCCAGGCCTGGAACTTCATCACAGTTGTCCATGTGGCTTTCAGGGATCCAGATATTTGGACCTTCTTTGGCTACTTTCCCAGGTGCACTAGCAGGGAGCTGGATTGGAAATAGAATGGCTGGGACTTGAACTAGCACTCAAGAGATGCCAGTGTTGCAGGTGGCAGCCTAAACCCTTGCACCGTGCTGGCTCCTAGCCCTGGTTTCTTGCTCAATCTACAGTGTTCAGTGTGGGTTCTCAGGGAGCCTGCTTCTCACTCAAGGACCCAAGCTGATGGTGGCTCCATCTGTTCATGTACTTCAGTGAAATGGGAAAAGGAAACCTGGGAGGGGGGTCAATTCCATGGAGTTTCTTCTAACTTCCACCCATGATTTTTATTATTATTATTATTTTTTTGGCTAAATTAAGTCATGACCATGCCTAAATGCAAGGTCAGAAAAACATAAGCCTACCATGTTCCCAGGAGGCAGAGAAAATCATTATATTTGCAAACAAACATAATGATCATTACAAAGACCATTTCATGTTGTGGCTAGTTTATTTTTCTGGCGTAGTCATAGCAACAGATTGTATTTCTCGGTTAGATGCTAATAACTGAGTTGGATGCTAATTATTGAACTGATGCAAATAATTCTTATCAGCCTGAAAAGTAGAGCAATCCCTTGGTCACATGCTAGTCTTCAGGACAAAACCAACCAATGAGGCCTGGCGGTGTGGCCTAGCGACTAAAGTCCTCACCTTGAAAGCGCCCCGGGATCCCATACGGTTCTAATCCTGGCAGCTCCACTTCCCATCCAGCTCCCTGCTTGTGGCCTGGGAAAATAGTCGAGGATGGCCCAAAGCTTTGAGACCCTGCACATGTGTGGGAGACCCGGAAGAGGTTCCTGGATCCTGGCTTCGGATCGGCATAATACCGGGTGCTGCACTCACTTGGGGATTGAATCATCGGATGAAAGATCTTCCTCTCTGTATATCTGACTTTTTATTAAAACTAAAATAAATCTTAAAAAAAAAAAACAACCAATGTATCTGGAGAACATTGTATCTCAAGAGAACCACTGATGTTTAGAAATACACCTGTATACCTATTTACAGATACATATGTACTAGTGAAATTCAAGAATAACATTGTCTTAATCCAGCATATTTTAGCAATGATCTATTTTGCAGTTTCTGAGCCATTATGAGAATGTTTACTTGAATCCCTTTCTGTATTTGCTAAATTCAAAGTCTAAGAATCATTGGCTTGAAGAATGTATTATGGGCCTAGTGTGGTGGCCTAGCAACTGAAGTCCTCACCTTGCACTCGCCAGGATCCCATATGCACACCAGTTCATATCCAGGCTGCTCCACTTCCCATCCAGCTCCCTGCTTACGGCCTGGGAAAGCAGTTGACGACAGCTCAAATCCTTGGGACCCTATACCACTTTGGGAGACCCAGAAGAGACTCCAGGCTCCTGGTTTCGGCCACTTGGGGAGAGTACCAGCTGACAGAAGATCTTCCTCTGTATATCTGATATTACAATAAAAATAAATAAATCTAAAAAAAATAAAAAGAGAAAATAGTGTTCCATCTATTGCTGGTGGAAATGTTTGAAAAACAACGTGCCTGTTTTTCAAGAACACTGTAAAACTATCGTACAACTCTGCAATCTTACTTCAAAGTACCAACTCAAGAGAAATGAGTAGATGTACATCATGCTGGTTGGGACCTTTAGGAACTGGCCCACTGACCGAGGAGTTTTTCAAGATAGAGTGTTTGTTCCAGTTGGCACAGTGTGGTCTGCTAAATTGAGGGTTAGAAGCCAGTGCCAGGGGAAAGAAAAAGGTCTGTATCCTATGACTAATCAAAATGAGAACATGGAGTACATGACCAAAAATACTAAGACAATAAGCACAACAGCATCTCCTTCACAAATTTGACTCATTCCTTTAAAATAATTTCTTGGCTGCTGCTAGGTACCAGGCCAAGGCGTCTTCATTCTCAGATCCCTGACTCCAGCTACCACGTGCATGTGGTGAGCTGCCCTGGGCCTGCCTGGGCTCCAGGGGCTGATCCCTTCAGGGTGAGTACACCGAGGGGTTAGGTCTCAGGGGCCGGACAGGCCTGGGGCCCATCCGCCACCATCATTGGGCAGGGGATGAGATTGGGGAGGAGCACAACCTTGGGCCTGGGGGCTGAAACTTCTAACAGCTTGCTGGCTGCTGGTGGGTACCAGCCTGAACCATCTCCATGCTTGGATCAGACTCCAGACACCACGTGCATGTGGAGAGCTGTTCCTGGGCGGCTTTCGCGCCATTTGGCGCCAGGCTCTGCCTGCTCGCCGCCTGGCCATAAACTGGGGTTTTGGTACTTTGAATCGCTGCTTATATAGCTCCACATTGAACCCACTGTGCTTCTGGGATGTGAATCAATCCTAAAGATTCCCAATGACAGAGTAGCTCTTCCTTTGAAGAACTTGTAATCACTGAACAATGCTGACCACTGAATACCAGTCCATGCAAAAGCTAAGACTCAGGGCTTGTCTAGCAGGATCATATCCTATTACCTGACATGATGGTGGATCAGGAAACGGGTCCACATTAGGCAGGGCCTCAACATTAACCAGCATGCCAGAGAACCATATCTGGGGGTAGATTCTGTGGAGGATGTGTGTGCCAAACCCTGTAGAAATTCTAGCCCCATTGGTTAGTTCAAGAGATGAGGTGGTGATGGACTAAGCTAGGTGTGACCAAGGAGCCTGCCATCAATCACAGGTAAAGGAACTGGCAACAGTCTGGACTGGTCAAGGCAGCAGCACCCAAATGTGCATCGTGAATAGGGTGTGGGGTGGGCCAGGCTGCAATGTTCACCAGCTCATACAAGGCCAAATGGAAGGCCAGACTATGCTGGACACTGGCCTAAAACCCACTTGCATGTATGAGAACTGGGTCTGTTAGTGGGTCAAGTGGAGGAATTTGGGAAACTCCCCTGGCGAGTCATAGCTCCTGCTGGTGAACACATGGCCCAGACCTAGGGGTTGGACAAGCTGGGCAAAGTAGCTGCAATGGCTGGCTAATGTGTGGATTGGTAATGGAATGGGGTATACAAGGCAGGACTGAGCAAACCTTAGCCCATAGTAAACTTAGAAACCAGGATGGAACACAGGTCATGCCGAGCTAGGCTCTTGCACCTACTGGTCTGCATGAGCCAGGGACGCTAAACCACAGTGTCTAAGGCAGGGATCAGGACAGGTGAGGGGCTGTGCCAAGCTGAGTCAGAGCAACCACTGGCATGTGTGCAGTCTATGGCTGGGAACAGGCCTGATTGGGGAGCTAAGGGGACACCCTGGCTGGGTTGAAGTTCCCACCAAGTGGCGCATGGGCTGGAATGGGGGCTGCATTCTGATCAGGATACGGTTGTAATCTCCCTTGGCACAAGTGTGGACTGGGACTGGATGCACCAAGCTGGGTCATACTCCAGCACCATCTGGTGCTCTGGAAGTCCAGGGTAGATCTGGGATGGACTAGGCTAGATCACAACCCCCTACTGAGCCATGTGTGAGTTGTATGTGGGTATGGACAAGCTGTGGCTGGGCTGAAACATCTAACAGCAAGAACCAGTTTGGGTTGAAGGCCAGTCAGGAAAAGCCACTGTTCCCTCTAGGACAGGATGTGAACTGAGTAGTGCCGGCTCATGGACTCACTGGTATGCACAAAATCTGGCATTGGGAGAGGTTCTGTTGGAGGAGCCTGGGCAACTCCTCTGGCAGGACACAGACCCAGCAGGTAAACGCAAGATGCATGATAGGAAACAGCCCAGAACAGGCCAAGGAAAGTTTCTCACTGGCATACATATGGAATGGGTCGGGGGCAGACCAGGCTGAATCAGTTCATGTCATCCACTGGCGAATCTGAGCACCAGAACAGAGTATGGGTCAGGTCAGATTCGGTTGAGACAATAAAACCAGTGCACAATATGGAGTGTCAAGGTGAGGTTACCTGTACCGGATGTAACCGCAGTGTCCAACAGCACATGTGAGAACCAGGAAGGGAGGGGGCAGAGCTGGCAGGGAGAATATGTGTGTGGGGGGGTTCCCTTGCTAGACAGCTACTCCCACTGGAGAGCATGAGCTGGGATGGGTACAGACCAGACTAGGCAGGGCTACAACACCTGTGCACCACAGGTGGACTAGATCAGGGAATAGCCAGGCTGGGCTGATTATTCCTATTGGTGCAAGCAAAAATTAGAGTGGGTGAGGGTTGTTTGGGCTAATCGCAGTATCAGCTGGCAGAAGGTAGCACTGGGGGCTAATTCTGTCAAGTTAAACCACAGAACCACCCGGAGAGTGCATAATCCGGGAGTGGTCATGGTCTGGGAGGGAAATAGTGGGCTCCTCCCTCTTGGGTTACCACTCCCAAGGGAGAGCACGAAAACTCAGACAGAGGCTGGTGGCTAGACAGAGAGACACCCAACAACATCTGTGAGGGCTGGATGGTGGAGCTGGTTAGATGGAACTAGGCTT